TTACTTGTTGGATTGTTTTTACACATAGATGACTACACTAGTACTAAATCACCAATGAGCCAGTTACGAGTACCGCCTGTCTCGCCCGTTCATCCTTTTCTTTGATTTACGAAATATTTTACGTTATCTCATTTTGCTGTTGCTAATGTAAAAAAACATTATAAAGATTACAATGTTTATAATAAAAATAACATCATCGATATTCGTGGCACTAGTGAAAAATACGTTTTTCCCGCCATTTCAAATCAGGCACTAACAGAGCCATCTAAGGGCAGACATTTAACAAAAAAATATAGAAAATAGGCACAGCATTTTCCCCATTTTTTGTTCATTTTCCCCGGCGGCAATGGGTTAAGTTATAACTGGACTTATATAAGTGTAATTTAGTAAAACAGGTTAAAATTGTGGCCTTTGATGGGCAAGACAGACCTTATGGAAGACAGAGAGAGAGAGAGAGAGAGAGAGAGAGAGAGAGAGAGAGAGAGAGAGAGAGAGAGAGAGAGAGAGAGAGAGAGAGAGAGAGGGGGGGGGGGGGAGGGGGGAGAGGAGAGGAGAAAGAGAGAGCAGGGGGGGGAGGAGGGGAGAAAGAGAGGAGAGAGGGGGGGAGGAAGGAGAGAGACAGGGAGCAGAGAGGGGGTAGAGGGGGGATGAGATTGAGAAGAGGAGAAAGAGAGAGACAGCGGGAGAGGGAGAAGAAGAGAGACAGGAGAGAGGAGAAAAGAGAAGAGAGAGAGAGAAAAGAAAGAGAGTAGAGAGAGAGAGAGGAGGAGAGAGACGATGAGAGGAGAGAGCGAGGAGCGAGAGAGGAGGGAAAGGTAGGAGAGAGGGAAGGAAGCAAGGAAGGGGGGCAGGAAGGACGGAGGGTATGAGGAAAGGAGGAATAAAAGAAGAGGGAAGGAGGAGGGAGAGAGAGAGAGAGAGAGATGAGAGAGAGAGAGAGAGAGAGAGAGAGAGAGAGAGAGAGAGAGAGAGAGAGAGAGGGAAGGGCACACACACAAAAAAAACTCACCCATCTTTTTCAGGTGGCAAGTTGTCTGGATTCAGGTACATAGTTTGAAAGTTGGTAGAACCTAAAGCACCAAGACCAAACCCAGCTACAATCATCCCATTGATAAAACCTTTTCGGTCTGGATACCACTGTAAGGAAAAAAAAATTGTAATTATTTCATAAGACTTTACAGTACATTAATAAACAGACCTAAATAAATATTATGTAGGAAGTTATTAAAATAAAGTTATACCAATTATGTCTTATATATAAGAAAACAAAATGGTACAAAGGTGAAGGAGATATTCAATTATTTCAAATTAAGTAGTATGCATCATATGCCATGTAAACAGAAACAAAGCCCCCAACCAGACTGCACAAATTAAGAAAGCAAACTGAACAAACTTTCTCAAATCACATCACAAGTAATAATCATCAGTAAACTGTAAAGAATACATAAATAACATAATAACTTACAAACAAAACACAACAAGGCAAAACAAAAATCTCACACCCTCTGTTGTATCTTAATTGGTAGTAAAACAATAAAACTTGTTACCTTCATGCCACAAGCAAGGGGAGTAACATAAGACAAGGATATTCCGAGACCAGACAACAGCCCATAGGTCATGGTAACAGCAAAGAGCGATACTTCAATGGTATAGTGGGTCAGCATGATACCAGCACTGAAACAAAGCCAGTTCATGGGATTTATAAGACAATACAAAGAATGCACAACACCATACTAAACTGGATTATACAGTATCAACATTTGGACAAGAATTATTGTTACAGTTTCTTTGATGTAATGTGTAGCTAACAAGCTTATACTGTATATACTGAGCAAGGCTCCTACAAAAATATTAAGACAGGATAAATCATGTAGCAAAAAGCTTTTAAAATTGAGGGAAAAAAAAACAGAGAGGTAAGTCTGTCTTCTTTCTCCTAAATTATTATGAATATAGTGAAAACTGTCGGAAATACTATGTACAAACTTCAGGCTTATTTTCCTATGAAACCATAGCTCCAGTACTGTAACCTTAAAGAAAATGTATCACTGATTTATAGTCTGTCCTTATCTTGTGAGTTTCTCCTCAGGATAAATTTATACTATATTCTTTTGAATCTTTATGAGGGTAGTTCATGCCCCCAAGGCATATTTATATTATTTATGCTAATCATGCTAAAACATTCATCTCAGCATTTAGGTAAAAAACATATGTATGAATGAATAATCGGTGACAAACTCATTCACAAACTCCAAAATTATCTTATCTATTTGCCCATCTTACGTATATTTTAAAAAATTAGTAACTACATATTTCAAGAGGAATTATTTATCAATTTTTCATATAGGAACCAATAAATAGGTACTGCAATGTAAGCTTTCTGTATAGCTGCACTTTATTTCTTATACAGGTATATTCATACAAAATAGTTTATACTCTGAACAGACTTTTTTAGGTACCAAGGAATATATTGATATGTTATGCTTACATGCTTACTGATTATTTTCATCATCACAATAAATCTTAACAATTATTTGTAGCTTTTGTGCAACAGGTTACAAAAGTATTATATTGGTGCACAAGAACAAATCTGTTTTACTGTTAATTACAATCAGAGAGCAAAATCACTGATCAAATCACTGATGCCAGAATATGAATGATAGAGGAAAAATCTTAGAAACTGCCTTTAAAATATGTGCATTCACATGCTTTTTAAGAAAAGAACTTTCTAAATAAAACATGTTAGTAATAAAATTCCTAAGCATAAAACCATTGTTAGTTGATCTAACTATTTACTTCATACACTATCTTACAGCAATTTCTTTTAGGCAGTGAAAATAGTCATGCACACAACTTTCTGATGAATAATCATTACACTGTATCTACAAGCTATTTTAATCATTATCAAATCATTACCCCATTGTATTGCATAATCAGAGGCCACAACAAATTCTTTTCACTTTTAAAAGAGCTTAAAACTCACACTTTTTTCACGCTTTTTATTGTCAATAACATGATAAGCAAAACTTGTCATTGCTTATTCTTATCTTAGAAATATTCTGTTTCCCTCAAACTTCAGATGTGTCTAAATGAAAAAAAAAGTTTTATCATTTGATGAAGGTTACAGAAAATTTCACATAATATAATCCTCTTCAACACTATTGATAAAACCCACAAATATATCAACTGATACGGGAAACAGAGAAATATATACACATAAAACAGAGAAACAAACAAAAATATATTACCTGAGTAAGGAACAGCCCACAAAGCATGTGATTTTAGGCCCGATTTTCTTCTCCAACAGGCCTCCAAATACCATAAAACAGCCCTGAGCTGCTGTAGTTATAGAATTCACCCATATAAAATTTCCATAATCGATACTGGAGTCAACTCTGACGTGCATATAGGAAGCCATGTATGTCATCATGTTACCTGGTAATGTAAAATACCATTAAGTTGGAGGTAAATAACTAGGGCAATTCAGCATTTTAAGGAAGAAATGATAAATGTTAAGGACATACTCGAGTGTCCATCACTAACTTTGCTGCCCTAATAAAAGCAAAAAAAACTTACAAGCACTGTATCATTTTGGTAAGATAGGGATTGTAAAATGCCCTGGTGATTGATCTTTGAGGAAAGCATCTGTGGAAGCTCAAGTGGATTTGGATTGAACATGGTGAATATAGTTGCAAGAAAATAGTTCCAATTTTGAAGTCCTACAAGTATGTTCTAAACATTTACCAAAAAATAAACTAGTTCTGTATTCAAGCTATAATTTATCTTTTCAAATTAACTTCTTCAACAGCAATTATGTGATACTAGTATTTCACTCAGAAAAATTGCCACTGATTATTAACATCACTAATACTACATGTATATTATTTCATTGGATCAAATCAGTTATACATCACTTCTGTATTTCATATTTATCTTTGCATGCTAACTAGGAACTCAATAAACCTAGTAATATCTAAGGTTAATCTTTATAGTATTGATGCACTAAGCTGTAGTCGTTGGTACAGGAAAATAATATGCAGACATGAATGTCACAAATAAAATGCCACAAGTAAAAGAAAAAGATTGCAGTCCTCCTAAGTTTCAGCTCTATCTTGCTATGCAGACAGAGGTGAAGGCAATGTACGCCAGGGGGCACTGAAGAGTTGAGTGCCCCATCAACTTTCCCATCAAGCAATGCCCAAAGGTTGCCCAGATGTGGCAACTTAGATTATTGAATACATTTTGTGACACATAACTAGGGACTTAGCCTCTGGCAAGTGCATCCCTACTGTAAAGAATTACCATTTCTAATACTGATGTCATTTTTTTCTTACCAAAACTGTACAGATTGCCAAGGGTGAGATGAATCAGGATCCCCCCAATCACAGCTGCTATACCTTTGGAGCACATTTTTGATAATAGACAGTCTGCCATCCTGAACTGGCGAATGCGTACTATGCTCATGTCCTAAAAAATCTGGAGAGAATTTTTATTTTATTTTTAGAAGAGAATTTATCATAAATAACAATCATATTACTATGTAACGTATTTATACCTGGCAGAGAAGAAAATAAACTTGTACATGAAAAAGTAATTCAATTTACAACACTTCATCATACATATACCACCTACCTCCTTTATATAATAAAGTATAGTAAAAAACAATCATACAAGGAAACACTTGTACAACTTCCATATGCATCCAACCAACTCCCACCCTTTCCTGTACATTTTCACCTCCCTTAAATGCACAACACAGTTATCCAAAGATGTGTTTCTCACCCGATTTCTATGTCTCCCTCGAATTCTGATCCATAATGAAGCAGCAATAGTTTTCCATATGTTTTCCTCTACTACGAGAAACGTGACATTTTCGGACGTAAACAAGAGTAGGTTTGTTTACGTACTCGAGGGCCACTCAGCAAGCATAATCGCGATAAGTTCATTCTATAAATAACCTGCCTGTATAACTTTACTAATGCTTATTTATTTGTTTATTTATT